TATTGATGACATGTACATACGCACATAAGTTTCCTTGTGGTGTACCTGTTAAGTTTGTGGGTACAACATTGAAAAAAACCCTATGCCATTTTCTATTGATTATTGATTTAGATAAAAAGTTATAGACATAGGAGTGGGTACTTATTTATTTAGGTAACAAGGTATAGATTAACTTTACTTTTTGAGTAAAAGGTTTTAATATAGATATGCTGACTTTGCCTTAGCTTAACATACAGGATATGGCCTGTAGGTTTTTTGCATTACAGCCAAACTTACTTTAATATAAATTTATAAACCTATTACAATACATCAAATACTTAAACTATAAGAAAAGATATATATATATGCAAGCAAGCAGGTTAGTCCTATAGGTTCACCTCACTCCTGCCCTCCCCCACCCCATTCCCTTCTGCCCTCAACACCCCGAGCCCTGCCCCTCCCCCCAGTCCCACCTCACTCCTGCCCTCCTCTCCCCCACCCCATTCCCTTCTGCCCTAACCCCCCCCCGAGCCCTACTCCTCCCCAGTCTCACCTCACTGCTGCCCTCCCCACCCCTCCCCATTCCCTTCTGCCCTCACCCCCCGAGCCCTGCCCCTCCCCAGTTTTACCTCACTGCTGCCCTCCCCACCCCTCCCCATTCCCTTCTGCCCTCACCCCCCGAGCCCTGCTCCTCCCCAGTCTCACCTCACTGCTGCCCTCCCCTCCCCTACCCCATTCCCTTCTGCCCTCACCCCCCGAGCCCTGCTCCTCCCCAGTCTCACCTCACTGCTGCCCTCCCCTCCCCCACCCCATTCCCTTCTGCCCTCACCCCCTGAGCTCTGCCCCTCCCCAGTTTCTCCTCACTCCTGCCCTGCCCTGCCCTGCCCTCCCCCCCACGCCCCGGAGCTGCCCTGTCAGATTTCTGATTTGTCCACAGTGGTGTTTGAATGGCAATTCTGACCCCCACTGATCCCCTCTTCCCCCCATCCCAGGGCCTGCCGCCTACGGGCTCCCCCCAATGATTGGGCCCAAGGTCGTCAACAAGAGCTCTGCCCCAAACTATTCCCTCCTGGGACGCAGCTTGGTCGGCAGTTTCTATGAGGACCTGAGCAAGGTGAGAGGCAGCAGCGGAGCTGGGGAGGGGGGTACTCAGGTGGAAGGGGGTGAGGAAAGGGGGATGGGGGACACGCCTGGCGATGGGGAATGGGGGGGTCAGAATGACAGCTGGGTTGCGGCTCGGCCTACTTTGGAGGGGGGGG